AAGCCCTCTATTCTGTGGGGAGTTGAGTGTTTCCTATGTGACTGGGTCACCTCTGTCCCAGGGCTCTACCTCCATGGGAGAATGTGGACCCCAGCCTCTGGAGAGGCCTTGAAATCCCGATACTGTCCCAGCAGCCAGATGCAGTGTTGTGTGGCCTGAATTGTCGGTGCCTCTGCCTAGATTAGCTTTCATAGGTGAGGTGTGGTACATCAGGTTAGGTCTCTGGTGTGCTTGTGGCTGTTTACCTCCAATAATCTGGCTGCTAGCTTCAGCCACCTCCCATCTTTATCTCCACCACTGTCACTTGGACCAGCTGCCGTGTAAATCTCCACAGTTGTTACAGACTCCCAGCTCCACAGCTCCACAGCCAGATACTCTCTGCTGCAGTTGCCTCTGGGGCCTGCTGCTGTGCGTGGGAGTGTGGAGAAAGGCAGCCAGACTCTAACTCTGAACACAGCTTTCTAGAACATGGCTGTCACACTTCTGTGTCCCTCTCTGCTCTGGTCTCAGTCCTGATCCCTGGGTTCAGCTGCAGTACATGCTGATCACTCAGGCTTTTTTGGGGCTACAGCAAGTGCAGGCCACAACCTGATTCCTTCCTTTTTCCCTCCTCCCCTGTCACTTCAGTTTGCCCACCTTCAGATATTTATTACACAGATTTCTCAGACATGTTGTATGTTGGGCTGGGAACCATTTGTTTGATTATAGCTGTTCAACTTGTAATTTCAAGGGGACAGGTCAAGGGGACTCTTCACGCTGCCATGCTTTTTCCATCACTCCAATTATTCTTAATTGTATAATTTAGTGGCATTAAGTACACTCAGAATTATCAGGTATCACCACCATCCATTTACCAAATTTTTTTCTCCAAAACAAACTTTGTACCCATTAAGTAATTCACCATTCTCTCCCAGCAGTTGCTGGTAATTATGATTCTCCTTTGTGAACTTGACTGCTCGAGAGGTCATGTGAGTGGAATTATAGTTATTTCATTTTGCATAATGCCTTAAAAGATTCTACTTTGTAATGTGTAGCAGATTTCGTTCCATTACTACTTTATTTTGTGTTTAACTGTTTTTTTTCCAGTAGCTCATTTCCTGTTTATGTTTTCCTGTTATTTTATTAGTGGTTGCCTTGGGGATTACTATTATATTAACACTAAATTGAATTAATACTAACTTAGTTCAGTAATACACAAAAACCTTTTTTTATGCCATATTCTCTGTCCTTTAGTTCCATCTTAATAAATTAATTTTATTAATTTATTGGCAATGGCAGTTCCATCTTAATAAATTAATTTTATTTGGGCATGTTCATGGTTTAAGGATAGTTTTGTGAATTATGAAATTCTTAATCTCTTTTTTTCTTTCATGACTTTAAATATGTCATTCTATTGCCTTTCGGTCTCCTTAGTTTCTGATGAGATAAAGGCTGAGAAATACTGAGGGATACCTTGTTGGAGAGCTGTCACCTTTCCCTTGCTGATAGAAGATTCTGTGGTTTCCATCACTTTGTCTCAGTGTGACTCTCTTTGAGTTTATTCTTTTTGGAATGCATCGTGTTTGTTGGATGTCTGGATTGATGTCTTTTTTGTGGTGTGGGCCGTTATCATCCATTGTTTTTTCAAATGCTATTTTAGCCTTTTTTATCTGTTTATAACTTTAATTAAATGTGTGTTGGTTTGCTTGATAATGTGTTCTGTAGCTGTCTTAGGCTCTGTTTATTATCCTTTATTCTTTTTGCTCCTCAGGGTGATTAATCTCAGTTGACTTATCTTTGAGTGTGCTGGTATTTAGTTTTGCCTATTCATTCCTCTAGTGAAGTTTCTACTTTAGTTGTGATATTTTGCAGCTCCTAAATTTCTGTTTGAGACCTTTTTATATACTTTTATTGTCTTTATTGAGTCTGTTTCAGGAAACATTGTTCTCTTGGCCTCCATGGTTCTTTGTCCATGGTTTCCTTTATCTTTTTGAGTATATTTATGATACTTAATTTAAATTCTTTTTTTTTAGAAAGTTTGATGTCTCTGTTCTCTCAGTGAGGTTTTGTTTTCTTTCACCGAATGGGCCATAATTTCTGTTTGTTTGTTCTTTTGTTTATTTGTTTTGCATACCTCAATTTTTTGTTGATATCCAAACATTTTTGAATATTTTAATGTAACTAGAAATCAGATTCTCCCCTCCCTTAGGATTATTGTTGCTGCTTTTTTGGGGTCACATCTATTTGTAGTAAGTGGCTTTTCTAAACTATTTTTGCTAAGATTCTATTTTTTTAAAACATTGTCTCAACATACTCTTTCATTCTTTGCAAATGAGTTCTTCCTATGACCTTTCAGTGCATAGACAAGCCATGTACAACTCTTCTATAACTCTTACTCTTGCACAGAACTTGAAAGTCAGCCAAAAGTGAACATATACAGACTTTTTTTCTCAGCCTGTTTCCTGACCTAGGTACTGGTGGCTTTTCTAGATTCCTGGGAATATATGGAACCTTTTCGGATTTCTTAATCCCCAAAACATCTCACTCCCAGTTTATCCTCTTAGGCCTTTTGCCTGTCTGTTGTTTTACTCAGCTGCTATCCTTTGCTCCAGGAAGGATTGGTTTGTTCATTTGCCTTTCAGTATTTTCAAGAAATGTCCTCCATAGCTGCTTTTTAACTCTAAGAAATAGTTCTGAGTTAGTAAAATAAGGATAAGCCTTTTGCGTAAGTTCTTCATTATACTTCTAGACAGGTCAACACAAATTGTTCTTTGAGAACAAGGTCTCCTTTGTTCCTTCTGGAACCAAGTACTGATATGGGCAGTACAGACCACTGTCTTCAAGATTACCACTGACACACATGGTGGGGGATGGGCAACTAAGTTACAACTGGTTGCAATAAACCCTTGAGTGTTATCCAGAGTACTGATAAAGTTGAATCTGATATATTTCGCCAGTTTTCTTTGCTTCTATGGAGAGATGAGCTATTAATAGTTTCCTACTCTGAGATTTCACTGTTATCCTTCCGAACTAGCCAACAGTTTTTTAATATTGCCCAAAAGTGCATTAATAAGTTGTTTTAAAATACAAGAAAAAATGAATAAGATAGGATAAATAACATAATAATTTAGCAGTTTGGGAGTAAGGGAGCATCTCAAATAGTCAGTGGAAAATACACAGTTTAGTACTAAGGTTTGGCAGATTTTAGAGGATAATATGTTTTTTTGTTTCATTATTTTTGGTGCGTCACTCCAGAAGCATATACAGAAAGATATGGTTATGATATTTAGAAGATGTAATTTACCTAAGGAATAACATGTTGTTTATAAATTTTAATTAGAGGCCTGACGGAATGTTTAGAGCCTAGCAGGTAGCTGATAAGTGGCATAAGTGACTTTAAAGAACATTTATGGCTGGTACTTGGTAGTTTCAAGGGAGGATGAATCTTAATGTGAATTATGGATAATTAATGTTCTAATTAATGTTCTGATTAGTGTTCTGTCCCCAGAAGAAATAATTTCGGTTTACATTCAGATATGTCCTCCTGAGGGATTGTGAGTTCTAGGATTTTATTTCTCAGCTACAGGAAACAGCATGCCCTGAGAGCACAATTGTGCTACTGTATATGCCTTGCTTAGTTTGCTTTTCTTTACCCAGTCCTGCTCCCTACCCACTCTGGCAAATGTCTTACCTGACAGGAGTATGCGACCAGTGGTTGGAATTTGAATGTGATGCCTGTTCTGGATCGGTCTGTTCTCTGCCACATCAATGCAGACATCTCTGGCATGAAGGTTCCCTGGCTATATGTGGGCATGGTATTCTCAGCATTTTGTTGGCATATTGAGGATCACTGGAGTTATTCCATTAACTACTTGCACTGGTGAGCGTTGCCCAAATAGCTGGGGGTGGATGTCAAGACTTCTTCCATAATCAAGGGTGTGTCCAGGCTTTAAATGTCTCCTCTTTACCTGACCAGGGGTGAGCCAAAGACCTGGTATGGGGTGCCCTCGCTGGCAGCAGAGCATTTGGAGGAGGTGATGAAGAGGCTGACACCTGAGTTGTTTGATAGCCAGCCTGACCTTCTACATCAGCTTGTCACCCTCATGAATCCAAACACCCTCATGTCCCATGGTGTGCCAGTGAGTACTTGGATTTAATTGATGCCATACGGTGGAGAGGGAATGAGGAGAACTTAATTTTGGAGAAAATATTTGCATTTTGATGTGCAGGCTAGGTTTAGTATCATTACATCTCTATTTCCCTTGTTGTGCTTCTGTGAAGCTATATTCCTACATAGATCACTAATGTATCTTTAGATGGAAGGAAAGGAGAGATCAGATAATTATTTAACAACATAAAATTTGAAAGCTAGATTTTGTCCCTTAATCTGCCTCCTAGTCTTAGATTAGTTTTCGTACATTACTGATATAAATTCTAATTTTATAAAACCTAAATTGGGTTCAGGAAGGGATTTCAGACTTGAGAATTTCCAGAATTGATTTACATCAGCCAATTTTGCAAAAGACAATAAGCCAGACTTTGCAGGAGAAAAGTAGTGCACTCAATTTCTGTAGCACACTACACATTTTCTCTTATGAATTTCTAAGGTCTGAGTTAATCTCTACACAGCTTTTATGTCTAACTCCTTTAGATTTTCCATTTGCATAATAGAGACTTGGTATTTTCAAGGCTCCCTTTCAGTTCTGATATTTTTATCAGTTTTTACTTGCACTTTAACTCCTTACATAAATCACTTTGTCTCATGAAAAAATAACCCTTATTGATGATAATCATAACAGCCATTTATTATACCGTTTGTCTTGCCTCATGAGTCTTTTTATTTTTTTTCCTCCTATGTATACTCAACATATACTTCCACACATATTCAGGGCTAGGATTTGTGTTTTTCATCTAGCTTGTCTAATTTTATATATATATTCATAGTATTCTTTTATCCTTTTTATTTTCTTAAGGGTAGTAGTATTCCAATTTTTATTTCTGATTTTAATAATTTGTCTTCTCTCTTTGAATTAATTTTGTTAATTCAAGAAACTTGCTTTAGGTTTTGTTGATTCTCTGCTTTCAATTCTGTATTTCACTAATTTCTTGAATCCATTTGTCAATATCCTATATCTCATAACAATTTTTTTCTTAAAGTATCTGTTCTGTGATGTTTGTGTAGCCCTCAGCTCTCTTTTGGTCACTGTTTGCATGATATATACCTTTCCATTCTTTCACTTTCATCTTATTTGTGTCATTATGTCTAGGTGAGGTAAAGTTGGATCGTGTTTTTTAATTTATTTTGCCAGTCTTTTCTTTTTGAGAGTTTAATTTTTAAGTTAATAATTACCAAAAGAAGGAACTTAATTCTGCCATTTTGTTGTTTTCTGCCTGTCATTTTTTTTTATTCTTAATTCTCTCATTCCTGTTTCTTTGTGTTTGATTAGTCTAGTGTTTCAGTTCATTGCCCTTTTTTATTGTATTTTTTATTTTTTTAGTTACTTTGGTATTACAACTACTATTTTAATTTTAACATTTTAGTTTGAGTTAATACTAAGTACCTTCAATAGTAAGTTCCATAACTTACTGAATATGTGTAGCTCTTGAGTTCTTATGTATCTCTGTCTCTCTTCCTTTATATTGTCACAAATTACATCTTTATATATTGTTTACCTATTTTAGTTTTATGATTATCATTTCATGTATTTTTCTTTTCAATTATAAAGAAAATAGGAGTCATAAAAAATACAGTACTGGGTTTTATATTTGCCTATTTAGGTACTTTTATCATTGTTCTTATTTTCTTTATGTAGCTTTTAGTTCTCTGGGAAACTATTTTATCTATTTTTCTTTTTCTTTCATCACTTGAAATGCATTATCTCCTGCCTTCTGGCATCCCTGATTTCAGATAAGAAATCTGCAAATAATCTTATTCAAGATCTATTACATAGGATGAATTGCTTCTCTCTTGCTGCTCTCGGTATTCTTTGTCTTTAGCTTTTAACAGTTTGATTATATTGCCTCTCTGAGTTTATCCTACTTGAAGGGCATTAAGGTTCTTGAATGTGTAGATCATTCTTTCTTAAAGTTTTTGAGTAGTTCACCCATTATTTCTTAAGATATTCTGTCTCTTTATCTCACTCCTCTTCTGGGACTCCCAGTATGCATATATTAGTTTTCTATATGATCTCCTACATGTCTTTTAGGCTGTTTATTTTTCTGAATTTTCTTTTCCCTTTGCTACTCAAATTAGGTAATCTCAATTGACCTGTTTTATTTAAATTTTATTTTTTTAACTCACAGAAAATCTATATCAAATCATCTTCAAAGTAACAAAAACAAACTAGGACTAGGTGTGTATCCCTGGTCATGCTCCAGGCCCTCTCCCACTTTCAACCTCTCTCATTCCAGCTAAATGATTAGTCTGTTGATTGTTGAGATTGAGAGAGGAAAGCCCTAGGGGAAGAATAGTGGAAGTGGAGAGTGAGGTGGAAACAGGAACCTTTTGGAGCTCTGATTGCCAGGAGATCCCAAGGACTGCTGAGCAGGACACTGGAACAGTAGGCCCAGCCAGCTCCTGCAGCACTATCTTTTGTCCATTGGTAGGGTGAAGAATGAGAGTAGAGAACCAGTCCTCTGTAATGGCAGTATTTGGTGTTGAAATCCTCACAGCTTTCATTGACCTATTTTAAAACTCACTGATTCTTCATTCTGCCTGCCCACATCTACTGTTTAAAATATCCAGAGCATTTTTCACTTTAATTGTGGTACTTTTTTAGTTTTCAGAATACTTTTCTGTTTCTTTTTTCTAATTTTTGTCTCTTTATTGAGATTGTCTCTTTGGGGAGACATGTTAACTTGAGCCTATTTAAGACAGTTTATTTTCAGTCTTTGTCCACTAAGTTCAGTGCCTGGGTTATCTCAGGCTTAGTTGTATTGAATAGCCGGACATTCTTGTTTCTTCATATATCTCCTAATTTTTTCTTGAAAACTGGACATTTTTAGCATTATATTATGGCAGTTTTTCTTGTTGCTGCTTTTTTATTTTTAGAAGTAGTAGTATCATTTAGTTGAAAGTCAGCCACAGTTGGGAACTTATTAGAGTCTTCTCAGGTTTTTTTCTCACATGTATGTGGTTTTCTCAGTTCCCAGGAATACACGAGAGCTGCTCAGAGCCCTTATCCCACAGTGTGTTTTACCACAAGTGGCTGTACTATGGCTATATATTTTCCATTACTTAGTTTCAGCAAACATGCCTGGGAAGCCAGTTGTGTTCTGGGAAACTCTCAGGTAAATATAGGTATAGATCCTTGAGCTAGGGAGCCATCAAAACAAATAGCCTCACTTCTTTGCAGATAAGATCCACATTGTGTTCTGTGGCACCAGCAAGCTGTACTAGGATCTTAGACTGCTGTCCCCAAGGTACTTCTGAGATTGGGTTAGAAGGGTTATAGGCAGGAGATTTATAGCACAGTGCTCTTTTACCAAAATTTATAAGTTTTTTTGTTTCATTTTGTCCGTTAAATGTTATCTTGGTATTTGTAGTTTATGATTTTATTACACAGTTTTGAAAATGTTTTGATGCTTATTGTTTTAGTAGAGGGATTAATTAAACTTTGGATTTCCCGTTTTATTAATAAGCTGACAGAGGGATGAGGGATTTCATTCCTCTGTCAGCTTATTGTTTTAGTAGAGGGATGAAATTTTGGATTTCCCCTTTTATCATTCATGGTGGAATTATTTCCTCCTTTTAAAATTTACATTTACTTATTAACTGAATAAATAATCCTCCTCTCATGTTCATGGACCGTTCATATTTCTTTCTTATATTGCACATTGTTTTTCTTTGTATTCTCCGAATATTAACCTCACATTTTTATTTTCTCTTTTAAGGAACAAAAATAAAGTAGAGTCTATGTGTCTTTCTACTGTTTCCCCATATCTATAACAAGATTCAAAGGCATTCTTAACTCCACATTCCATCATTAGTCTTAACCCACACTCCCTTCTCACTTTTTTAGGTTGTTCGCACAAACCAATGTGCAGGAGAATTTGTCATCACTTTTCCTCGTGCTTACCACAGTGGTTTTAACCAAGGCTACAACTTTGCTGAGGCTGTCAACTTTTGCACTGCTGACTGGGTGAGTCTGGGATGTGGTGATCTTGCAGACTTCTATCAAGTCATAGATAATAAAAGTAGAAGTCACTACAGAGCACCTAAGCAGTTGATTCGAAAATGGCCACACAAAGTATTGAATTACTTGCAGCTACCAGCTGGACGCCAGTGCATCGAACACTACCGCCGGCTCCGGCGTTACTGTGTCTTCTCCCATGAGGAGCTCATCTGCAAGATGGCTGCCTTCCCTGAGAAGCTGGACTTGAATATGGCTTTGGCTGTGCACAAGGAGATGTTCATAATGGTGCAGGAGGAGCGACGTTTACGAAAGGCCCTGTTGGAGAAGGTGGGTGGTAGGCAGCAGGGCTTAGGGATTCAGTGGAATAGAATATGGAAGAGAGACAAGGAGACAAAAATTGAGTATTGTGTTCTTCATCTCTTAACTCATACATTTTGAAGTGGAAATACAGAGACTATGTGTTTATATGTTTTTCTTCCAATTTCTCTACAGCAATCCTTACAAAGTTGAGCCCACAACGGGGCTCAGTGTTGGCTGAGGTGGGGTGTCTGCAACCCTGCTCCTAGTCTTTACAGTATATATGGGTTGAACACCCCCAGGGCATCACGGAGGCTGAACGAGAGGCTTTCGAGCTGCTCCCAGATGATGAACGCCAGTGCATCAAGTGCAAGACGACGTGTTTCCTATCAGCCTTGGCCTGCTATGACTGCCCAGATGGCCTTGTCTGCCTTTCACACATCAACGACCTCTGCAAGTGTTCAAGTAGCCGGCAGTACCTTCGGTGAGCATGGTGCCTACTTGGAGGATGCATAGCAAGTTATAGAACTGGGCCAGATACTCTTTTCCTTGCCCTTTTTTTCCAGGTATCGATACACCTTGGATGAACTCCCCACCATGCTGCATAAGCTGAAGGTTCGGGCTGAGTCCTTTGACTCCTGGGCCAACAAAGTACGAATGGCTCTGGAGGTGGAAGATGGCCGAAAGCGCAGTAAGTGAGAAGAATGGAAGACCCCATGAGCTAGCTTTTTTCTTATAGCATTGTAAGCCTTGCTTCTCCACATTTTCATAGCACTGCCTACCTCTTGCAAATTTACTCTTTCTCAAGGCTTTGAAGAGCTAAGGGCACTGGAGTCTGAGGCCCGTGAGAGAAGATTTCCTAACAGTGAACTGCTTCAACGATTGAAGAACTGCCTGAATGAAGCAGAAGCTTGTGTCTCCCAAGTCCTGAGACTAGTCAGTGGCCAAAAGGCTAGGTACGTTGGAGAAAGGGCAGAAAAGGATGGCATTTTGTAAAAATGGATAATGGAAATGGATAGGCTATAAATAAAGAATGTACATAGCAAAAGTTAGTATGTTATATATGATATTAGTGACCAAAACTTATATAGATGAACTATTTGAAGAAGCACAGTTTCAACACTGAGTCAGTTATAGTGACAGCGGTGAGATGAGACATGAAAACGATGTAAAATTAACTAGAAATAACTGTAAGTACACAATTTCCAACATATGATATACAGGCATATCTTGCTTCATTATACTTTGCTTTAGTACTCTTCACAGATTTTTTTTACAAATGGAAAGCAAGACCCTCTACATACAAAAATGTTATTACTTGATTTATTGTGGTGCTTAACTTTGTTGCGGTGGTTTGCAACTGAACCTATAGTATTTCTAAGGAATGCTCCTAGTTCATCCTTTTACTGTCAATAGCAATAGAAATGAAAATGGGATAGAAAAATTATAATCCAGCCATACTTGGTAAGCAAACTTTGCAGAGTTGTCCAGCATCAGATTCTCCACAAAATTCATTCTTGGCTAAATGAAAGTCTTAAATTTTATTTACTTGATGGTTGTCAAATGTATGTGATAATATATATATGTCTATTTTTTTTGGCTGAAATATCAAGTGAGTAATTATATACATGTGTTTTATAAACTTTAGATAAAAGAGGACCTATTAATCACATCAAATAATCATATTTTTCTAATTTAAAGAATTAAAAAATTGAAGATAGTAGTAATAATTCTTTTTACAGAGGACCTTTTTTACTGTCTCTACTTAAGAAATAAAAACTTTCCCACGTTGACCTAGTCGTACTTGTATCAAGTTTCCTTGCTTTTAATATTTATGAACTTGACCTATCTCAACTTGTCCTTCATCTACCTTCTTGGCCTCTTCATTTCTTCCTTCTCGTATAATTATACTCAAAGGATACGTCCTAGAACTTATCACTTGGAACTGTTTTACTTCTGACACAATAAACTCTTTCAATTTTTCCTTTATCTACAGTATCAATTAATTTGACCCTTCCATATCATCACAAAAATTTGCTTCTTAATCATGCTATATGTTTTGCTAAAAAACTCTGATTTATTCCAATTACAATTAATGTATTTATTATCTTTAGCCTCACTGTGAAAGCTACTACTGTTATATCCTGTTAGCTATTTACTTTTATGTTGCCTTCTTATTCATTTTGATGACCTTATAGCTCTTAATTACTATAGAAAGTAAACACTATCTAGAGGCTATTTTCCAGTTTTGTTCTCTTGAAAAGGAGTCTATTTTCAGTCCTCTGTCTAAGATACTAACTCCAGGCACCATACTGTTAAATTTATGCAGAAACTTGGATTCTCTCACTTTGAAATCTTTATAGTCTCTTTTGTGTTAACAGTTCTGTCACACAATGTTGTTAAGTTTTTTCATTTTAATGTATTGGTTCAGATGATCTTTGAAGATCTTACTTAACATGGACGGAAATTAGGTACTGGATTTCTCAGAATACATGAAAAATGGTTTTAGCAGGTTTACTTTGTGAGTTCTTTCTCCCTCACTCTTGCAGAGTTGAAACTCCACAGTTGACCCTGACAGAGCTCCAGGTCCTTCTTGAGCAGATGGGCAGCCTGCCCTGTGCCATGCATCAGATTCGGGATGTCAAAGTAAGGACAGGCTTGGGAAGATGCAATTCTTGTTAACAACCAGTACTAGCAAAGTATGAAATAGCAGGGAAGCTTGAGAATCTGATTGTTCTAAGTTGTTCTTTATAATCATCTATACATCTTCCTTAGAAGCTATGCAGATAAGCAGTTACTGAACTGGTTTTATCCTAATAGCTTACAATTATCCAAACAAAATACCAAACAAAACCTGAAGGTGGTGGAGAGAATCTTTTTCAGACTTCAGAGTATTAGGACATTTATTTGTATCAAACATATCATGTCTTAGGAATAATTTAAGATGAGAGTGAATCAGCAATATATGCCTATGTGACAAGATGAACAGATCAAGGCCAGGCAGTCGAGAATCTAGATGGCTAAAGAATCTGTTCCTTATTCTGTATTTCTGCAGGGTGTCCTGGAACAGGTGGAGGCCTACCAAGCTGATGCCCGGAAGGCCCTAGGTTCCCTGTCCCCTAGTCTAGGGCTCCTGCGGTCCTTGTTGGAGAGGGGGCAGCAACTGGGTGTGGAAGTGCCTGAAGCCCATCAGCTCCAGCAGCAGATGGAGCAGGCACGATGGCTAGATGAAGTGAAGCAAGCACTGGCTCCTACAGCCCAAAAGGGTTCCCTGGTCATCATGCAGGCGCTGTTGGTTACAGGCACCAAGGTAGCCTCCAGCCCTTCTGTGGATAAGGCCCGGGCTGAGCTTCAGGAGCTGCTGACCATTGCAGAATGCTGGGAGGAAAAGGCCCATTTCTGCTTGAAGGACAGGTGGGGCCCAACCTTTCCACATATATACCCTGACTCTAGTCTTCAGAGTTTGAGAGTTGTATGGCTTCAGTGGGTTATCTTGGTACCAGACTCCAAGTTAGGCATCTGCTGACCTATAATGATTGGTATGACATGTTACCAGTCTGATACATATTCCTACTATGTAAAAGCAGTAATTGGGTAACTTCCTGGTCTTAGTTCTCAGATTATAGACATCAGACATGATTTATAAGAAATATGTATTCGTATTTGTGTAGAGAGATCCTCAGAATCGGTTGATAATGGCTCACTTTAACTCTTGAATTTTTCCTTGTGTATGCTTTTGTCAGGGAAATGTAGGACCAAAAATATGCATATATACAGGTAATATTTAAGGATGGATTTCTCTTTCCTCCAATATATTTAGGCAGAAGCATTCACCAGCGACACTGGAAGCCATTATCCATGAGGCAGAAAACATCCCTGTTTACCTGCCTAACATTCAGGCACTCAAAGATGCTCTGACTAAGGCACAGGCATGGATTGCTGATGTGGATGAGATCCAAGTGAGGACCTTGTTTTTCTTAGTTTTGTATTGTAGGCATGCAGCTAGAACAAAGAGTCTATCTAAAACCTTTTAATTCAGTTGGTTTGTATTGGACATTGGAGGTACTGGGGGGCAACCTAAAGAAGCTGAGACTATCAAGATAAGAATGATGAAAAGAGAAACATATGTATGGGTCTGTAGCTAAACAGGCACCATCAAAGGGAGAGGGTGAGATGAAGCAAAATGTAACAATAAGTGGCCTGTTAATTGAATCTTTTTTCCCTGATCCAGGGAAACTAGGAGTTCTGGATAAAAAGTATCCTACTTTTTACTTTAGAATAGTCTAGATTTTGTTTATGACACCATAGCATGATGCTCAGCACAGTTGAGAAATAATGATTTTTGACCTGCTTTAACTGAGCTTTTCTCTTGCCCCATACCAGAATGGTGACCACTACCCGTGCTTGGATGACTTGGAGGGCCTAGTAGCTGTGGGCCGGGACCTACCTGTGGGTCTAGAAGAGCTGAGACAGCTAGAGCTGCAGGTACTGACAGCACACTCCTGGAGAGAGAAGGCATCCAAGACCTTCCTGAAGAAGAATTCATTTTACACACTTCTAGAGGTGAGGCCTGCGCCCCTGAACTATTTGAGATTACTTATGAGAATGTAAGAGTTGGTTTGTGCTGAGGATGCGGCAGGGAGAGAGGTCGGAGAATCATGGCCATTCCTTTCCTTCCTGTTTGCCTCAGGTGCTCTGCCCATGTGTAGATGCTAGCTCAGACGGCAATAGACGGAGCCGGTGGATGGAGAGGGAGCTGGGATTATGCATATCTGACACAGAGCTGCTGGGACTGTCTGCACAGGACCTCAGGGACCCAGGCTCTGTGGTAAGGAGTTTGGGCCCAGATGAGGAGAAGAGCCTGCCGATGATAGTCTGAAGGGGACCATGGCAGCAGGGTGTTAATGGCACCAGAGTAAGGTAGGAGTGCTGACCTCCTCTCCCCTGTCCCGGGCATGGCAGATTGTGGCCTTCAAGGAGGGGGAACAGAAAGAAAAGGAGGGTATCCTGCAGCTGCGTCGCACCAACTCTGCCAAGCCCAGTCCACTGGCATCATCGACCACGGCTGCCTCTGCAACTTCCATCTGTGTGTGTGGGCAGGTGCCAGCTGGGGTGGGAGCTCTGCAGTGTGACCTTTGTCAGGAGTGGTTCCACGGGGGATGTGTGTCGGTACCCCGCCTTCTCAGCTCCCAAAGGCCCAGTCTCACCTCATCCCCACTGCTGGCCTGGTGGGAGTGGGACACCAAATTCTTGTGTCCTTTGTGCATGCGCTCACGGCGCCCACGCCTAGAGACCATCCTGGCACTGCTGGTAGCCCTGCAAAGACTGCCTGTGCGGCTGCCTGAGGGTGAGGCACTTCAGTGCCTCACAGAGAGAGCCATTGGCTGGCAAGGCCGTGCTAGGCAGGTTCTGGCTTCTGAGGATGTGACAGCTCTATTGGGACAGCTGGCCGAAGTTCGTCAACAGCTCCAGGCTGAACCCAGGCTAGAGGAGCTCCCTACCCAGCTTTCAGCCCCTGCCTTTGAGCCTCTGAGAGGAGGAGGTAGCAAGGATATGCCTAAGGTAAGCTATGCAGCCCAGCTTTTATCAGTTTCTTTGTATCTCTTAGGCATATCCCTGTTTACGCTCCACTCTTGTCCTTGGTCTTATTTGCACATTGTTTTAGTGCAGCATCCCTGGCCTACTCTGCATTCTGTCCAGATGTCTGCTGTCAATCTATGTCTGCCTTCCTCCTTAAAGAGATAGGGATAGGGGTCCCAAACTTAGGGCTATAGGAGGAAGAATAGATCTATTTATCTGTTTCTATCCATTCTTACTTGCCTTGGCAGGTCCAGGGGTTGCTGGAAAATAGAGACAGAATGACGTGTCCTGAGGAGGTAGCCCTTGCACAGGACCCAAGTAAGAGAGGTAGATACGGGTGTGAGTAGGCTATTCATTAGATAACACCAGAGTGACCTTTTTGGTCTTCGCTCTGTTGTAGGGGTAGGGTCAAACCAGAGGCAATTGTCTAACAAAACTTGTCCACACCCACCCCCCAGATCTGGACCTGCTGTCCTCATTATTGCCACAGTTATCTGGTCCTGTATTAGAACTGTCCGAAGAAACCCGGGCCCCACTGGAGGAGCTCATGTTGGAGGGTGATCTGCTTGAGGTTACCTTGGATGAAAACTACAGCATCTGGCAGCTGCTGCAGGCTGGGCAGCCTCCAGACCTGAAGCGGATTCGTACACTTCTGGAGGTGAGAAAACAGGTCATGGCAGGGACAGATTTCAGGCATATCAGGCAAGGAGTCCAGGCCTGACCACTGGCCCACTACCCTTTTCTGCTTGTCTTTGTGTGATTGTAGCTGGAGAAGCCTGAGCATCAAGGAAGTCGGACAAGGGTCCGGACATTGGAGAAGCGACAGCGGCGACAACAGAAAGTAGATCTGGGTAGAAATAGCAAGGATCTTCAAGAAGAGCTAGAGGCAAAAAAAGCCCGGAGCTCAGGAGTTAAGCCTGAGGAACAAGAGTTTGTTGAGGAAGCAGAACATGAAAATATACTTCTAACACCGACAGACCATAGTCCCATTTTGAAAGGAAACCGGAATAGCTTACAACAGAAAGATTCAGATCCTATGATCTCTTTACCTTCTTTAACCCCTTTACTACACTTGTCTTACCCTCGGCACCAAGTGTTGTGACAAGCAGCATAAAAGTTGTTTTATTTTGAATTTCATTGCTTTCTAGGCCTTCCTAAATCCTGCACCTTCTTTCCTATTGAGAATTTGTCCCTTTAGTGTTTAATGCCCTAAAGGAAGTGTTTTAAAGTCATTTCCTAAGGACAGTGCACTGTATGCCTCTTTCCAGAAGTCTCTTGGCAGCAGCATTACTGGGTTTAGCATACAGTGATTTTCTAAGCCAGTTTCATTCTAGACTGTGGCAAATAAAACTTGAGAAAGGCAAATGTGTCTAACTTTTCTTTTTCCAGTATTATTTTTATTCCTTATTTTATCTTTAAAATATTTGGGGGCTTTAAGTCTTCTTGCACCTTCATTTTATAACTCTTTTCTCACTTTGGTTAAAAATGAGGGTGGGAAAAAAACCACATAGCATGATGTAATTACTTGTTAGTAGAGCAAAACAAGAAGTTCTTAGTTCCAGCAGCTGGGTGTTTTTAATTTGATTTCTTCTGTTAAAAGTTAAACAATGGGTGATTTTAAAACTGATTTGCACTTCTTGGAATATAGGAGTGAAGGGCTAAAGTCAACAAATCTAAAAAGTTTTAAAACTCATGATCCTTTTTATGTTAAGGCTGAGAAGTGGTTATTTCCTGTAACTTCAAGGTTGAGCTCTCAGTTCGTTTTTCTAGCATAATTCATTGAAAAGTTTTTTCTCTCTTTAATAGCTTTATTATCCCTTTGTTGAAAAATCTATTGGCTGTAGTCATGTGTTCTTTTTCATTGTTTCAATGTACCCATTGTTCTGTTTTATTGTTGAACTATTTTTATTCTTTTAGGAATGACACTCAGTTGTCTTGTTTACTAAACTTTTCATAAGTTGAATAATCAGTACAGTAAAATGATTCCTCTTACTTTATTCTTTTTCAGATAATTTTACTAGTCTAGTACCACCAACCTGTTTTCCATATGCAGTTGGCTTTAAATCCAAATATGATAAATCTGAACTTGAAATTATAACTCCCAGTTTTTCCTGTTCTTTCAAATTATAAATACAATATTTTGATCTGCTATACTTGTAAGAATTCAGCAATATTAGTGTGTAAATGTCTTAAAAGCATTAATCCATTGAACTTTCTTGTGTCTAAGTGACCCAGACATATATTGTACTTCTGTCCTTCAGTAATCAGATTATTTTGGCTCAGTTTGAATCTTAAATCAGTATTCCCCTCTA